GAATCCGGTGGTTTTGACAAATTGTTGCACTTGTGGGGCAGATATAGTTATTCCATTTTCTCCAAATGAATGTAGATGTCTTGTCTGTAGGAGCTTGTACATGTACATTTTGTAAGTTGTGTATGTACAAATCTTTATCTACGTTGACATAATTTGTGGACAAAAAAAATGCTCAGGTCTATATCTAAGTTTATTTCCATTAGGTATCTATTTTTAGAGTGACAATTTTTACTGACAACTGTCTCACTAAATTTCCTTTTAATTTTTATTGTACTGTTATTTTCATAGCATGCTGTATTATAGCCTTTTACATTTTTCAACCAGTTTTCTATTCTTTTTCATAGACAAAAACATCTTATATTGCAAAAATAGACATTTCAATTTGCACATTGCTGTATTTTAGGTGGGATTTATACTACATGATTGTACTGTATTTATAGTCACTGTTTGTATTTTTAGTTTGAAGCCCCGCGGCCCATTTAAGCGTAGCGTGCAACATCTGGTTGCTCCTAATTTGTAAAACAAAATGCAATTAATGACATGCATCAAAGCTGAGGAATTCTTAATTAGGGGTGCTTAAGTTGTTGTTTAGTCTCTTGTCGTCAATTCAAGCACTGATTACCACTCAAGTGAAAGAGATTGTGGGGCTGAAAAGTGGTATAAACGATACTATATTTTATAAGAAACAAAGAAAACAAACAAACAGACAAGCAGACAAAAATATTTGGTCAAGGATTAATTATAAATAGCCTGAATAAAAATCTGAAACTGCTAAGATTATTATTAATTCCTCTCAACCACATTTGGTCACATTTGTGCATTTAACCCATCTGGGCAAGAACATGCAATAAAGATTCATATCATATCATTATAATAAAAAAGCTATTCTGAGGTTCCAGCCACAATTTGATTGATAGCTGCCAAAATGATAAAGAACAAAATGTAGAATTATTTTATGCCAGAAATCATGAGAACTCTTATAATGTGTTAAGTGTGGCTGTGCTCTTTTCTGTATTGTCTCAAATGTGGCTCAACACCGTACTTCAGAACCCACTCATGATGTCTAATGGTTATCTAATGTAATGTAGCATTATCTATATGATGGACTCCATTTGCTGTCAAAGGGCTCTTTGCACTTTTGATGGGGTGAACTGTCACTTGTGTCAACCAGAATTTCTTCTGCTGAAAGCTCAACTTTTATTGATTTAATTACAGTGACTTTGTTTCCAATTTCTACCTGCTATTCTCTCGTGTTTTAAAGGCGAGTGTTAATTATGTTTATGTCACGGGTAATGCGCATATCTTTGGATTACAAAATACATAATTCTATTAATAGGCATTTGTAAATACATTTAGTAATGCGCACCTCGTAAAGATACGGGTATGCATAAAACGGATTTGAATCCTGCTAGTATAAAGCTGTTTGCTGTTATGGCGCCGATGTCATTATTTTTACGAGAAATAAACACAAATCATAAAGTTATACTAGTAAGATTATCGTTGATCTTCTTGTATATACTTTCCCGCGTCTGATCTAAGTCCAATTTGGCTACCAGATGCGACGCGCAGTTTTTCATTATCCGATCAGTTTGAGGCTCGTGTTCAAAAGTGATTGTTATTGATTATATGGCATGTTAATCATAACAAAGAGTTTCAAATAGACCAGTGTTTACCGTTGGCCATGAATCCTCTACTCACGCAGGTATGTCCTGTCAGAATCCACCTGATTGATGGACTCCCAAACATGGCCGCCCCACTCAGATCATCAACTCTTCGAAAATAATTGGTTTCAGCAAATGCCGTCAAATTCAAGGCAAACTCTCGCAGTGCTCGGCTAATACATTATTTAGTCCGCAGTAAACGGAGAATGTGTCGTGCCGATTTACGCTGCACCTTTATTTGCGCAGGACTCGTCCCGGTGTATCCAATAATGATTGTCTCCACATAACGCGGCTGTTGGAGAGATTTTTATGAGGTGTTGGGTGCACCTCGGTGACTGGATTAATCTGGAGCAGGTGGGGCCTCATTTTCTGCAGGTTTTCTAGGTCAGCTCGCGTAATTGGATTATGTGCCGGTTATAAATGGCCCCAATTTGCATGTGTAAGTGAGGGCTCAGATTCAAGATTAATTAGAGTCGGTTTGTACAGTCATTATCCTGGCAGGTGTGGCCGCCCGGGGATGATTCGCGCGCCCTTCGCGGAGTTGCATCCCCTCCCCTGCGATATCAAACGGACGGTCCCCCCCCTCCTGTGTTGTGGGAAGCCCAGTTAGTCTGTAGTAGTCCCGGATAGAGAGTGGCCGGCAATGGAAGTACACTGCTTCGTATCAACATATGTGAGTTGGGCTCCTTTTTTTTTAGGGATCGAGACTCTACTTTGGGTGTTCTGTTTAGTCTAGTGGCATTCTGGACCTGTCTGTTAAGAGCTGTAGTGTAAATCATTGCCGTCTGTTAAATAGCAGTTGTTTAGAATTGGCCCGTTTCTATCAGCGCTAGTAGCTTGAACCGACGGCCTGCCGTGTACATGTGGTGTCGAGTCTTTCCCAAGATAGCCTTGATCTTCTCACAAACCGATTAAGTCAGATTGAGACTCATGCAGATTGGGGGCAGTTATAGAAAGCAGAGAATTGCAGCTGGGGTCAGCTCTCATATACTGTGGAGGATCTAGCTGTGAAGCCAATCATTTTCTGTTGGTGAGATGTAGTCTTTTAAAGTGGCATTGATGTTTGGGTTATTCGCATTGCCTACTGATGTTTTGGTTGTCGTATTACAAAGCTGTCTAGTACATGTACGTCTTTGTAGTACAAGATCTACAAGATTCTAGAATAGCAGGGCTCGGCCCTAATGTACTAGCTATTTATTTACACATGTTTTAAAAAGCCCTATACAAAGTGCTTATTTTTCTGTGATAAACAGCTTTGCAAACTGCTATTCTGGTGCTATTTGTAATCTTTATGTGTTATTGATGGCAGTTTTTATTGGATTATTGTCTGTAAATGCAGGAATGTAAATATCATTTATCAGATCAGCTAATCCTTTTATTTACACGAAGCAGTATGATTATAGTCCTAATCTAAAATTGTGAAGGCCGAAAATATTCTAACTCTTCAAATATTTTTCTCCTAAAATTTAGATCAAACTAGTAGTTATTTTTGGATGTTATTTTTAAACCTTAAGTTTTTTTTAATGAATCTCAAACTAACAGTTTGATTACAGTGCTAATCTCAAATTGTGAATGCTAAAAAATATTTAATTCCTCAAAAAATTTTCTCTTAAAATTTAGATCATTTTATTCTGGATTTTTCCTTCACCTTTTTTTAATGACTCTGAATCCCAAAACATGTTTTTAGCAGACTGTTTTACCTATTATTTATGAACGGGAATTATAGCCAAGCAAGGCTCTTTTGTTATTGTTGTCGTCTGCTATTCACACTGACACGCACTTCATTAACAAGGTGGGTAACGTTTTTTTTCCCGCGGCAAGACAAGCCAAGCGCTGTACATGTAATATGCGAGGGAAGAAGGATCGGGGAGCATACCAAGCATGACGCTAATCCTCTTCTCCCACACGGTATAAAAACAAAGTTGCGTGTCGACTGAAGTGGGGTCAATTTATTACCGTGCCGGGGGACCTGTCGGTAATGATATTACATCGCATGAAAGTCTCCATTATGCCCGGGTTCCTGACCTTGTTCTGCGAGCGCGAACTTGACCTGCTCCCCGAGAAAACGCGGTCCCAACGGGCCGGTGATTAATGATGATACAGGAGCTTAAAACAAGGAGGGTTCAGAGAGCGCCACCCAACCCTAACGAACAAAGCGCGCTGCCGAGATGATCTAAAGAAGGCTGAGATGTGTAGAGATAGGGATGAAATATCATATTGTGTGTAGCATTCATCAATTGGTAAGATTAGACGAAGTTGGAAAGTGAGTCACAGTGTAGGTTGAAGGTTTTACTTTCTATATAAACTGATGTGATGGTTAAAAGCTAACATGTACTTCTGTCATTGATGACTGTTTCCCAGTTGCATAAAAATGACAGTAAAAACGTTGCATATTGTGTGTAACTTTCATCAATTGGTAAGATTAGACGAAGTTGCAAAGTGAGTCACAGTGTAGATTGAAGGTTTTACTTTCAATATAAACTGATGGAATGGTTAGAAGCAACTTGTCAGTGACAAGTTTCCCACTTACATAAAAATGACAGTGAACAAGTTGCACAAAAATGACAGTGAAAGAGTTGCATAAAAATGACAGTGAAAAAGTACTTCTCTCAACTATCATGTTATTTCAGATTGTTTTCTTGTAATATAATGTAGCCCTATTTGCAGGGCCTTGTTTGAAAGTAGACACAGCTTGACTGTATAAAAATTACAATGAAAAAAGTTGCATTGTAAAAAACATGACAGTGAAAAAGTGCTTTTCTCAAGAATCATGTTATTTCAGGATCTTGTTTTCTCGTAATATGATGTAGCCACATTTGCAGGGCCTTGTTTGAAAGTAGACAGCAGCTTGATTGCAGGTGTATATTAGGTCAGGAGAGGCAAGGCTGGGTGTCACAGGGAGCCGGCTTCATTTGACGCGGAATCCCTGCGATAGAACGATAATTGGCGAACGGCAGCACTCACCTCTGTGCCCGACGCTTTAGGATCACTTGGTTCTGGTTATGGAGTTGAAGTCGACCAAATGGCAGTAGTTTGAATCTCGGGGCTTGAAAGATGAAGGTACTTGAGTGCGCCGGTGTGTTTGTGTCTTTGTAATAGTAATTGGCATACCCTGGTGGGTTAGAAGTCACTACTATGATTGCTCCAGGTTCGGCTTTATGGTTCCACTGGCTGTTTGTTCTTATTTTTGGCATCCTTTCCCCCCAATAATGACTATAAAGAGTAATGGTAGGATGGATGAGAAAGAAGAGGCTTATTCTATAGATACTCGAAAAAGAAACGAGAAAAAAGTCAGAAAACTCGGGGTTACTGAATGGCACATGTACTTGTGTTTTTCAGGGAACAAGCAACAATTTTGTGAGCAACAGAATGGCTGAGCAAGATAGTGACTTCTCCTTGTCCACTGAGGTATTTCTAGCTCTTCCTTAAGTTTATAAAACTATTTCTTGCACCTTTTTTTATAGCAGGTGTCAGTAGGTTTCAAATATTTCACAATTTTAAAAATTTTGCTTTTTTTAGCCCCTACAAATACCGGTATATGATTGGCTTCAGTTCTTAAACGAACTGTTTATAAAGAGGTATTTCTAGCTCTTCCTTAAGTTTATAAATCATTTGTTGTGCCTTTCTTATGGCAGGTGTCAGTATAGGTTGAAAATATTTCACAATTTTAAAAATGTGGCTTTTTTTAGCCATTTCAAGTTCATGATTGGCTTCAGTTCTTAAACAAACTATCAACAAGCATGATCTTATGTTCAGTTTTGTCTTTAGCATATTGTAGGATTCATTTTTGGTAATCACTGCCAGGCATTTCCCAATACAGCAAATAAAAGCTACCTAGAATTATGCGCTAGACACCCCGTAAAAAGGGCAACTCCAGGACTGGTGATTTTAGTATCAGAGTTTGACAACCGTACGTATATAGTGCCTAATTGGCACAGAGAGAGGGTTTATTTTGGTCTGCAGGTGTTGTCCGTATGTGCTCTCTGGAGTACGGCCAGAAATTTACAGTAGATCTGGGTGAAACCAGACAGTGATTGGGCATAGGTCAAGTCAGTTTGGCTTCTGCTAAGTCTTATATACAGCGGGAACATGGTTTTGTAAAAGGTTGGCATGCGAGTAATGTTGTTTCTGTGCAGCCAGTGTTGCTTCTCCACAGATGTTAATATGAATGTTTGTGAGAATGTTGTTATCTAATTTGTGTGTTGACAGTTTTTAAGTAATTACTGTACAAGTCTGTCATGCTCCTAAACCTGACTGAATTTACAGTGATCCATAAATGCTTCTTGGCTTGGATTTATCCATTATAGCTGTAGAGAAAAAAATGATACCAAAAATGACAGCTTAATCTTATGTAACATAACAATATAAGTGCATCTTGCAATTGCAATTAAATTTTAATCAATCTTTGTTTACTACAAGGTACAGTATATTGCTTGAAATACACAGAATTAAATCGTTCTGAAGTCTAAGCTTTTTTTACACTGGATTCATACTCACACAGTGCCCTTAACTACGTGTAGGACTCCTATCATACTTCAAGAATCTTAAAGGATGGTTCCCCTTCAAAATAAATATGCATCGGGGTATCCTTGGAAGCTCTCTCTCTCCATAAGGAATGGGGTGTCAGATAAAAGGTTGCAACCTTAAACTTAATGCATATATTGCACCTCCTGGCCGTAAAGACCCATCCTTTGAAATGTCCCCGCAATTGGAAAGGGCAAGGAGTCAAGGTGATGGCACGTTATTAGGACATGAAAGCCCCGTCGTAATGAGCCTCTCTCAGCTTTTGATTTGGTGCAGGCCGGGCCGTTTGAAGTCTAAGCGTGGTTTGTGTCGAATTTTGTACAAATTTGCTCCCAAGTACTCCAAGACTAGTGTGTAGTGTAAGACTTATGACCATGAAATTGTAAATGAAGTTATGTTTTAAGCCATCATTTACATGTGTTTGAATCAGTTTTTCAGCCTCTCTCAGCTTTTGATTTGGTGCAGGCCAGTCTGTTTGAAGTCTCAGCGTGGTTTGTGTCAAATTTTGTACAAATTTGCTTTCCAGTATTCCAAGTGTAGTGTAACTGATGACCATGAAATTGTATACGAAGTAATGTTTTAAGCCATCATTTTCGTGTGTTTGCATCAATTTTTGCACAATTTGGTCTCCAATACACAAAGTCTGGTGTACTTTACGACATAAAAACTGCTTGAAGGTGTATACGAAGTTATGTTTTAAGCCATCATTTACGTGTTTGCATCAATTTTTGTATGAACTTGGTCTCCTATACTCCATGAAGGTGTATACGATGTATTTACACGTGTTTGCATCAGTTTTTGTCTGAATTTGCTCCCCAGTATAATTAGTGTGGTATAATTTATGACGGAAAAAACATGTTGAGTATACAACATAATGTTTGCGGCCGTCATTCACGCATCTTTGTGTCAATTTTCATACGAATTTGCTCCTGGTTACAATCTACATAGATGTACTTAGAGCATGGCTTAATTTACGAGCGAAAAAGCATGTCTGAGTGTGCTGTGAAGTGTTTTCAGCCATCATTTACGCCGGTTTTATGCCCATCCTTAAAGCACCTTTTCTCCCGTGCCAAGTACATTTCAGCAGAGAAAAGAGGCTATTGTTAACTGTTATTATCGCTTTACAGGCTCCCATCCAGTGCTTACTGAGTACATGGAGTGATAAACCTTTATTGATCCTTTTTAGCAGGCTTTCCTGAATGTGGGTATCATGTGCCATCTTTTGTAATGGTGATGCCTTTTACCTTTTTTTTTCTTTCACAAAGTGTACGACCGTATATAAAAGAGGCACTGTAATAATGATCGGGTTGTTTCAGGCTGTAACTGGGAAAAACCGTCAGGCTACAGTTTCAGGAATTCGATACATGTGTGTGAGTTTAGCGAGCAGATTGAAACTCAAAGGGTCCCCTGACACGGACACATCGCGATGATTGAAAGTCTCGCGCCGAGATTCTGTCTCTAATTGCTTCCCCGTTGAGCGCAGTTTTACCGTCTCCGCTCTCGGAGGGTACTGTAATAATCTTAATGACATATCTAACATAAGGCGTGATTTAGACGCCATGTGTACGACTAGATCCCCCCATATTTTAAACACAGTATGAAATGAGTATATGTTTTAACTTGAAGCCTGCACGATTCCCCAGAGGTCATGGTACAGCCTAAGTGGGTTCGGAATTTAAGGCATGCATTTGTGCTATTAATGTGGATATCCTAGCAAAGCGGTAAATCTTCTACCCTTATAATGGAGACACTAATAAATTTCGGGCTTCAAAGGCAGGGCTATAAACAAGATAAATCTTGGCCCAATAATCCATTACAGCGTGTTGATGGGAAGAAGATAGTGTTCGTTCTGTGCCTTTGAACGTAATCCAATAATGGGGCCCGTATCTCACCATCGCAGATGGGTCGGTCGGAAAAGTGCGCGGAAGTTGCTGCTTCGTTTCTTTCTTATTCTTCTCGGAGAAGTGCTCTTTGTGTTTCCATCTCGGACACAAAGGCTAGGGCATGCTGGCTGCCGTCCAAAGTTGTCCACTTTGATTTCTAGCTCTTCCTTAAGTTTATAAAGTTATTTCTTATACCTCTTTTTTTAGCAGGTGTCAGTAGGTTTCAAATATTTCACAGTTTTAAAAATGTGGCTTATTTTTCTTTATTCTTCTCGGAGAAGTGCTCTTTGTGTTTCCATCTCGGACACAAAGGCTAGGGCAGGCTTTGCTGGCCACCGTCCAAAGTTTAGTGGAATCCTTTCCCAAAGTAAGTCCAGACTGTACTAAAACATATTGACATTATGTTCTTTTATTCTTAATATTCGTTCTTTTGTTCTTTCATTATTGGACATTTTGTTCGTTTCTTTTCTTATTCTTCTCGCAGAAGTGCTCTTTGTGTTTCCATCTCGGACACAAAGGCTAGGGCAGGCTGGCTGGCCGCCGTCCAAAGTTTAGTTGAATCCTTTCCAAAGTAAGTCCAGACTGTACTGAAACATATTGACATTATGTTCTTTTCTCAGCACTGAGATGGAAGATAACTACATACATGCATGTCATCTTCACTCTATCCACTAATCAAAAACTTTGGCTAAAACTTTCTGAAAGCTGTAAAATCTGTTGATCTCGACACCAACTTTGATCCCATCTTCCCCCCGAACAACACTTCTTATTGATTGCCCTCTCTTTAAATCAAAGTCTAATGCCAACGTTCTCTTGTTACTAAGAAGGAAAGGTTAGCAAAGATGCAGCGTATAAAGACTGGGGATTTTTGTGACGTCGTTAATACTGGTTTCTCTGCCTAAATGCGCAGCACGCGTCCTACTGAATGCTCTGTGAAAAATGGCAGCCAGTTTCTCTAAGTGAAAAGGGCATGATCCAGATAGCCATAAAGAAAGTTTATCACGCCTGGTTGAATTGTAAACATATCACGGTCAGATTATGGCGATCCCCGTGTAATGTTAATCTCCCAAATACACAGAGATTCGCCATCAATTTTAATCATTGTAGTTATTCCTTTTCTTGGTTAGAACAGGCAAGCAAGGCCTTTAGCAGAAGAAATCATCAAATTAAATTACCCAGAAAGGATTTTGAGAGATATCAAATTAAAAGTAGGTTCTGCTCTTTGTGCAAGACAAGGTGCAGTCTCTAAAAATGATAATTATAGAAAATTATTATTACTGATAAGTAGGTTTCTTTGTCTGAGCTGAAGAGATATTTTTGTTGGCTGCATATAAATATATAAGTATACAAATATGATTTTGTAAACATCTGTAATTTTGAGACAGTTTCCACATAATATGATATGTTCTGTTCCACTGTTCTGTTCTGACAATTTCAGCTAGAGTAGACCAATGCCATACATAACATTGTACTTGTAAATTATGGTGCATTCTAGTAGTAGACTAAACTAGACTGAAAGTATAATTGCATTCATTTAGCCTTTTACGGCAACAAAGTTACTGTGAGCTTGTTTTATTAATGAGAATAGGACCTTCAATGTCCTTCATAAACTGTTGACTTAAGTACTAGTGTCTGTGACTGTCTGAAGTTTCAATTTGACAGAATTTTAATGCTTGTTGGCAAGTCAGAATATGGCACATAAACAAAATGCTACATGTACACTTGAAATTGCTGTGATAGTGGTGGATGAAAACAGAGTCAGTGTGAACAACTCCGTTGAACCAGTTTTGCATGTTGATAACAGTCTCAATGACAGTCAACCTTGCCAGTGGTAGAGAAATATCCATGAAAACATCCAAGAACAGATAGAATACACTTATTTAAATGACATCAGTTATGTCATACATATTGTTCATTTAGCCTCCATAGCATGCCAAAAACTGGGGGTTTTGGGAGTCTTCATGGTCTTTGGGAGCTTTTTTTTATTTTGTGATTGCATAT